TCCTTTTGGAGTTGGGCTATGCGTTTCTTGTTAATGTGTCCAAGACGACAATGCCACAAGCATGCCTTGTCTACACTATTAGACAAGTCAATATTAAGTACACTATTTCCTAGGCTATCAACACAAGTCACTGTTTCATACACACCATTACAAGGCAAAGCTTCAAACATAAAAACACCATTCTTATAAACAGAAATTGAACCATTCAAATCATTAAAAGAATATGTAAAACCTTGTCTGAACAATGCATGAAATGAAATAATGTTTCTCGTCATCTCAGACGAATAGCAACAATTTATTAAATCTAATCTAACATCATTACTAAGCAGAAGCTGATAAACTCCGATCTTGGTTACTGGTGAAGACTTTTGTTTCCCATGATCAGGTTTATCCTTCCTCGCTCTATCTCCTCACTTTCCTTTAGACCCTGCAAATCAGAACAGATATGAAAACCACATCCTGTATCAAGGACCCATGAACGAGAAGATAATGAGTATTATTAGCAGAAATAGTGTAAATACCTGCCGAAGATGGCTTCACTTTGCCATCCTTGATATCTTGCAGATATTGTGGGCAAGATCTCTTCCAATGCCCCTTTTGGTTGCAGTAAAAGCAAACTGCCTCTTTTGGATCAGAAACATGGGGAGTGGAACCATTGGGCTTAGCCTTTGGGCCATTACTAGATGACCCAGCTTGAGCCTTGCTCTTCCAGTTTTGCTTGGGAGGACCTTTCCTCTTTTCCCCTTTCCCTGTCCAATAGCCAAAACAGGGGCACTCGTAGGTGTGGAGGGTATACTTTTACCCTTCATCCCTGCCTCAGCTGTCTGCAACAAGTTGTGCAATTGGGCCAAGGTCTGCTCAGTATTGTTCAAATGGTAAGTTAGAATAAACTGACCATAACATTCAGGAAGTGAGTTCAAACCATGTCAATGGCCAATTCCTCATCAAAGTGAATATTGAGCTTGACCAAACGCTCTATGTAGCGTTGCATTCTTTGCACATGTGACACAACCGACTCCCCATCTTTCATCTTGCAAGCCATGAGTGACTTGACTACTTCGAACTTTTCTTGACGAGCTCGCTTATGGTACTTTTCCATAAGGTCCTTGTTCATCTCGAAAGGCCAGTAGTCCTCATAGTACCTCTGCAGTTCTGGGGACATAGTTGCCACCATGATGCATGCCACTTTGGTAGCATCATCGTAATGTTTCTTGTAGGCAGCAAGATCTTCAGGAGTAGCTTCAGACTCATCAAGCTCTTTGAGCTCCTTTTCAAGAACATATTCTTTGTTCTCAAACGAAGAGCCATCTTGATGTTGCGCATCCAATCGTTATAGTTTGAGCCATCCATAACGACTTTGGAGCAGATATTGAGCAAAGAGAAGTTCTGGTTGGAGGAGGATGAAGCAGAAGTGTTTCCAGGAGTAGACATCTGAAAAGAAAGAAAGTTTTAGTTAGATTTCAAGATACCTCAATATAATAACCCAAAGATAAAATATCAAGGTTAGGATCCAACTATGAAGATTCACAACTTAGAAATGGGATGCCGAGATCCAAGTGTAAATTTCAAAGGTAGGTGAATGACGATTCACCAATTCCACCATTAGACGAAACAAACGAAGTGAAATTCCTAATTCTTTTGAGATACATTGAAACTATTCAATGGCATGTTTTAATCTCAGATTATGCTCTTCTATTTGTGACTGGGATGCCGAGGATCACAAACAAGATGTGAATAACCATGCAAATGTGCTTGGTAACCTCATTGTCTTTATCATTAACTATTGATGTGCTGGTAACCACACACGCTCCATCAAAATGACAATTATGAGATACACATTACTACTCTTTATTAGTGCCTTTAGTGTGCTGGTTAACCACACACGCTCCACTAACGACCAATAAAGCATAATGTGCAATTTCATGGATTAGCATACTTTTCACATTTTTCCTAAAGTAACTAGAGTTGGATTTTTGAAAATAATGTTCTAGTACTTTCTTTAATATCATTATACTTTTAATGAGAAGTAGTTGTCCTATCAAATCCGTTCTGCTAACGACCCTCCACTAATCAAGGAAGCGGTGGGTGAGAGTGGACACCCATTCAACTACCATTTTATAGGCAGTTTCCTTATACCCCCTTATAGATTAGCTTCGTGAATGAGGCATACTAGCGATTTGACTGACCATATTCTTATACATATATAATATTAAACTTTTAATTATATATATATATAGTGTGTTTTAAAACATTTTAAAACTTCAAGGGTTTATAAATTTCGAAATTTAAGCTATTAAATTTAAATTTAAATAAACCAATTAACTAGATTTAATATTTATCTTTTAATTAACTATTAATCAAATTATTAAATCTTGTAAGGATTATCTAATTAAATTAATCAATTAATTTAATCCTAATCCTTATCCTCTAAATTTCGAAAAATAGGGTAAGGATAATTATCTAATTAATCTAATTAAGTAACAATTATCCAAAAACAAGAAACCCTAAAACTTCTAGCAAATTTCGAAATTTACAAGGGAGGAGGCTAGGGTTTTCAAAACCCTAACCCTAATTTCGATTAGGGTTCTTTGGAGGCTAGGGTTTTCGAAAAAAACTTTGATCCAAAACCCTAGAAATCGAAAATTTGGCCTTTAGGGTTTAATAGCTATAAACCCTAATTTGCAATTCAACAATTATAGCAATTCAATTTAAAACAACAATGGCTCTGATACCACTGATGGGTTTTAGGTAAACAAATAAACTAGAAAACAATTCCTAAGTTCACATGCAACCTACTTTGGATCTATGTTTTAACTATTGAACATACAACTTTGAATTGCAAAACAAGAACCCTAGAGGAGAGAGGCTAATTTCGAAATTAACAAACTAGGTTTTAGGGTTTACATACCTTTCAATTGTTATAGCAAACAATTGATACCCTTGATCTTGATCTTGATCTTTTGGAAGCTTAGCACCACAAATGTAATGCCTCTAATGGAATCACACCCAAGAACTAGCAAGAAGGAAACTTGGAGGAGAGAGGATGGAGAGAGTATGCAATTCGGCCTTAGGGTTTCTTCCAAAGAAATCAGTACCCAAATGTGAGCCAGGAGGCTCCTTAAATAGCTGAGGGATCTAGGTTTAGGAAAAACCCTAGTTATCCTTTGCTTAGGGCTAAGCAAGACCCAAGGCCTTATCTTGGACCCCTTGGACGAATTCTCTAGGGTTTCCCCTAGGATTTCGTCCACCCCTTCCAAGGGGTTCTGGATCCTTCCACTCAACTATTAGTTAATTGCAAACTAGTCCCTGCACTTTATAATTAATTCTTTTAACCCCAAAATTAATTCTGATTAATTTCTGGCTAACAATTAATTAAACATAATGATTTCTAATTTAATATTAATCCATTAACATATTAATAAATCAATTATATATATATATTAATTTATTAATCTTATAAATTAATATCTCTTCTTTCATAATTTCCTTGTCCAGTTGCTAGGTTGAGGGCAACCCAAAAGGAATGTGCTGCTATCAATTCAAGTACATACCAATTATAGTTATGGACTTAGACACCTAATCCAACAGTTTATATATGAGATGATTTATCCCACGTCAAGTTTTAGGGTGTAACAACTATTGCTCGTAGGTTTTTTAACAAAAAAAACTTGATGGGCTACCGGTTAAGTGTGTATTTCTTTAAGTTAAAGATTAGGGGTTTGAAACTCACTCACTCCAAATTTTCATCTTTTTTTTATTTCGTGCCACACCACCCGCCCAAAGCCTGCCTCATATCTATATTTGAACAGACTTTTGGTTTTTTTACAACTTTACCCAAATATGATTTTTTTTTTCTATTTTTTATCGATAGACTCACTTTTCTTTTTACAATTTTAACCCAAATTTAAAATAAACTTTTATGATATTTTTCCAATATTTTATCCAAAAAAATTTCAAGCATGCCGAAGATCCAAATCCGAAAAAACTTTTGGTTTCTATATAGCTTTTACCAATATAAAATATATATTTTTTCTGTTTTTTATCTAATCACTTGCCTATTTTATTTTATAATTTTTTAAAAACTAATACGCTTTTTTCCAAGATTTTAACCAAAAAAAAATTAAAACTTATTTTTTCAAAATATATTTATAGCTCATCGTTTTACAGCCCAAGTCTTCCCAGTCGGACCAAATTTTTGTTTCTTAAATTTTTACACAATTTTCAACAAAATGTGATGTTGTCCTTGTTTTTGTCCAAACACACTTTTTTTGCAATTTTAATCCACATTTAAAAAAATATACAATTTTGGTCCAAGCTTTAAAAAAAAAATTGGACTTTGTTTGTTTTTTTCCTACACTCACCTTTTGTGTTTCCTTTTTTTTTGTATATCTTTTAGAATTATAATTCATACATAAAATAATTCCTATTTTTATCCAATTGAAGCACGACAATACGCTAGTTTAAAAGATTACACTGTTATTCTAAAATGTAAGAACAACTCTCTTTTATATGATACTTTAACAACCACAATAAAAAATGAATAAAATCTTTTCGAGCATGCATTATGTTTTGTTTTGATGCTTTCTTGTTTGGTTCTTCCTTATAGCAAATGAACAATATTTATATGAAGGCCAAGCTTTCCTATCATAAGTTTCTTATTTCCACAAGATTATGAAGAAGTTGAGAAAATTCTAACGACTTTTACAATGTTCTAGAAACCTTAGACAATATCAATAACAAACAATTCATAAATTATTTAAAACTAACCACATAGTATACTACCTATGCTTATTATTGATTATGTTGAAACTATTTTATATTGACAAATTCTAACGACTTTTAGGGATGTTTGGATATGTATTTTGAAAGTAATAATGCATAAATGAGTGATCAGAGATTAAAATAATAGACGTTGTAACCAGAAATATATCAAAAAAACTAGTGACCAAATAATTCAAAATCTTCAAGGCAAAAAAAAAAAAAAATTACTAAAAAGTAAGTAGAACACATAAATCAGCAAAAATAAGAAAATATGAAATGAAAGCATATCAATCAAAGCCACACATAACCTATATTATAACCTCTATATCCCTATCAACAAATACACACCTGTTTCAAGGATCAAGTTACTCCCGATCAACAGGCGGCAGGGGGCTTTCGTCATCTCCAGCCACCACCTCCGCCTCCACACCAGACAAGTCTTGATGTTGTAAATGCTCATTGTTCTGTAAAGCATCAGCATGAGTCGAGCTTTTTTCTTCTTCTTCTTCATTGTTAGATTCAGAAGAAGAAGATGATGATGATGATGATGATGATTTTGAGCTTTCTGGATCCACAGCGAATAGGTTTTCAATTCTTTGAGCCATCACCTCTGGATCCATCTCCACCTCCTCCTCTTCTTCTTCTTCTTCTTCTTCTTCGTCATCATAATCGTCTTCATCTTCATATTCCTCCTCATCATTATCATCTTCCTCTCCCTCATCACCTCCACCACCTTCATTCTCATTAAGAAATTCTTCAAAATCACGGCTTTCCTCCACCACATCTTCACCCTTAACACTCACACTTGTGTTTTCTTGCTCATCTGAATCTACTGTAGATTTAGATGACTCTAAATGTACTATAGATTTAGGTTCCTCTGAATCTACTGTAGCTTTAGCTTCCTCTAAATTCACTGTAGATTTAGGTTCCTCTGAATGTAGTGTGGATTTAGGTTCGTTTGTGGAGGCAGGAAAAGACTGGAAATTGTCCCAATCATCATCATCATCATCTTCTTCTTCTTCCTCTTCTTGGATTTTTGTGGAGGCTAATGGAGTTGGAATTTGGCGTTTGGTTTCTTCAATTTGTGATGGCATTTTGATAATCAAGGGAGGGATCGATGTAGCTTTACTCGGAGTTGATGGACTCTGATCTTGTGTTACTGAAGCACGAATTATATCCTGAAAATTACAACAATCGTTAAGTTTCTGTGTAAAAGACGTAAATGCCCTCCTAACAATCAATCACCTGAAGTTTCTGGCGCCGTGTAAAAGGCATTGATAATAACGCGTCTTTGAAATAGACTGCAGAAGTTTGACTTTGGGCAAGTTGAGAAACGAGTCTCATGGATGCAGTTTTTAGTTCTTTCACTTCCTGTTTTTCAAAGTGCATGTTGAATGAAGATGAAAAATAATTAGAAATTTTTTTGGAGATTGGGATTTGTTGTTTATTACCTGAGAGAAATCGTTCTCTGAAGCTAATAAGACCATGACAATTGCTTCAAGAAGGAGGCTCATTAGACTTGTTTGAGATTCCGGAGCTTTAGAGGAAGTATGCAAAAGCATCAACACTTTTAAACAGTCTCCAGCAACACTCATTCCTTCCCTTGTAACAGGTTTCTGTCATTAAATAACAGCCAACCATGTCAAAAATTTAAAAAGTTGGACTAAAACTGTAACTTACTCTTTCCTAAATTAAAAACTACATGGACTAAAACTGTAATTATTGCATTTCCTGCAAATTATAAGGAAGATATGTACTTGAGAGTTGAGAAAGAAAGGTTTTGAAATGAATAATGATATACCTTTAAAGCTTGTTTGATAGTCCAGAAAATATCATTAAGAAGCTCGCCAATGAAGAACACTAGAAACGTGTTGTTGCTTTCGGAATTGGAATCTCGTATTACACTGGTTAGTGTTTGCAAGGCAATTGCCTGAACCTGCTCATAAGGAAATGATATCAGAGATCTTATCAACAGAATCCATGGTTTGAATTCTCTTCATTCTTTTTTTAATATATAAAAGACCAAAATACCCTTCTTATTGTTGTTACCTGTATGTATTGATCGTTGAGAACCTTGTGGAAGGAATTGGCACATTGGCATAGAATGGCGTAGGATACAGCTTTGGTGTCTGGATTCTCAGTAATAAGTTGGATTTTGTGGGTTAATTTAGCAAATGTAATAATTTGTTCAAGAGAGAAAGTGAGCTTCTTTTGTGGTAATTTAGATGAGTTGTTCATCTTCTCCTCCTGTTGATGGATGTTCTTGATACAGTTGTTGGTTAGATAAATATTCATGTTCATACAAGCTCCAATTATGGTCCTCAGATAGACTATATCATCATCATCCAGTGTAGATTTTTCTGACAAATAACACTCCAAATTCAGTTATACAGAAAATACCAACATGCTTTTGTTTATTTGTGTATTATAGCATCTGTTTTTTGCTTCTTTGTTTTACACAGATTTCTACTTCCAATTTTTTTTCTTATTAAGGCATTGTACTTTGAAAATCTATTTAAGTTTTTTTTTCTTATTAGGACACTATTATTAAGCTTGAAACTTGTAAGATAGATGTTTAAATTGTGTTTTCGGATTGAACACCTATGAAAAAAAAATTATTTTTTTAAATATCAAGGAATTATTTCATAAGAAAAAGTGTAAATTACACAAATGGTCCCTATGGTTTGGGGTAATTTGCACGTTTGGTCCCTAACTTATTTTTTTAACTCAGAAGGTCCCTACTGTTTGTTTTTGTTGCGCGCTTGGTCCCTGTCTTACCTAAAAAGGCTATTTTGGCCTTGATTTTTTAATTTATTTAAATAAACACACCCCAACCCCACTTCCACCTCACCTTACCTTACCTTACCTTACCTACCCCACTTATTTAAATAAATTAAAAAATCAAGGGCAAAATAGCCTTTTTAGGTAAGATAGGGACCAAGCACGCAACAAAAACGAACAGTAGGGACCTTCCGAGTTAAAAAAATAAGTTAGGAACCAAACATGCAAACTACCCCAAACTATAGGGACCATTCATGTAATTTACTCTAAGAAAAAAAAAAGGAGGAAAATAATAGTTGAGACTCACCATTAACATGTTTTTTCAGCATAGCAACTAGAGATTGAACATAATCAACAGGTTTAGACAAGCATGTATCATTTGATGCTTCTTCAATACACTTATATCCAATGATGAGAAATGCCAATGCTAATTGTAGTTGCTTCTGTAAAGGCAATTAGAAGAATACACACCTCAATTGGACACAAAGACAACATAAATATATAACAAAGGGATAAATTGATGAAATAGCAATGTTCTTAAATTTATCTGTGCATTACAGCATCCTACTTACATTTCTTCTTATTACAACATTGTACTCAGTTTTTGCTTATTAAGACATTGAACTTTGAAATGAAAGCAACATGCTATATATAATAAACAAATCGCTCATAATAGAATTACTAATAAGATAAGTTTCAACAATTCTACATTAAAAACATGCAGGTTACCTTGGGTTGTACACGAGTCAAAAGATTGATTGCTGAAGTAAGAGACATAGATATTTTATCCTCCCAGTTTGAGTGACTGGATGATGTTACATCAGCACTGACACAAAGCAATTTAATCAAAAAAATGATAAATTTCAATTATAATTTAAATATGAAAATAGGTACAGCAACAAAAGATCATGGTTTTGAGTTTACCTTTGTAAGAACTTGAAAATGAAGGACAAACAAAGTTCAGCTGCCTGATATGCAAAATCTTCCGTTTCGAAAAAATCCTTAGGGCAGTTCTGAACAATCTGTAAAAGAATTAAATTTCATGTCAATGTCATAAATTGAAAGTCAAAAATCCAAGAAATATTCATAATTATATAAAAGGAAAGATAAACATGCCAATGTATCTTCCATTTATTTACCTGTGATAGAACTGAGATTGCATGGCTATCCAATATATCCTCCATAAAGATGTAGTATGAAAAAACCTGCATCCATAAGTTTAACCTTAATCAGAAGCATATAAGAAGGTAGTAACTATTGATGAATTAGAAAAAAAAAAAAAAAAATCACTAAGAATGTCAATGGACAACAATATTTAACATAGCATCCTCTTGTCACTTCTTCCTATTACAACATTGTACTTTGAAAAATCCATCCAATCATAGCTTTGAAAAATACACAAATAGATAGAAGTATGTAAATCACCTGCAGGAGTTCCCGACATATATCGATAGTAAGAAATCCCATCCTGAAGAACTTTTCAGCAGACAGGAACCCGAAAACTGGTAAAATAATTTCATAAAACTTCATAGCTATCAAGTATCTGGAGTCAGAGCCAATGTTGGATTTTACATAATCCAATGGGATAATGGTTTTATCAGGAGTGGCATGTTGTCCCTGAAAGAGAACAAGTAAAGAGAAGCTCCATAGAAACTGATAGTCTTGCTGTTTCAATTCCACCATGTTGTATCCAGAGAAAAACACATTTTTTGATGTTTTTTCGGAAGATTCAGTTTTGGATGTGTTTTCTGATGTTCCGGAAGATTCATTTGTGTCCCCATCCACTGGAACTGCATCAAGAGACACTGCTTGCAAGATGAACGGCCAGGATTCTTCTAAACATTGCTTCAACTTTTTGGCAACCAGAGAGGATTGAATTCCATCAAGGAATGGTTTCCACTGCAGGAAAAAAACACAGAGAAATGTTATATACTTAATACTTCCAAACATGATGTGTGCTTTCTATTACAGCATTATTGTTTCATTTTTTATCATTAACACATTGTACTTTGAGAAACCCATCCAATTATAGCATTGTACTTATATTTGTTTTCTTATAAAGACATTGTACTTTGAAAACTCTATTTAATTATAGCAATGAAAAACGTTTTGTATTGGATGACATTGCTATAACTAAGTAGCTTTTGTAACGTAAAAGATTGCAATAGGAAGAAAGGAAAGCAGGATGCTATGATAAACAAATATATGAAAATGTGTTGCATTTAACCGAAAAGTATACAAGGAATAGATTTAGCTTACATGAATATTGGGGCGTGTGCGGAAGCAGACATAACTGTAATCCTTCAAGAGTGAGAGCCAGTAGTTGCCCAATGTATTTGAATTTTTTGAGAATAATGGTAATAATGCAAGATACTCCTCAGGGATGCTATTTTGTCTCCTCAAGAATGCATATGTATAACATTTGAGAGAGGCATGGGCTGTTAATAGTCTTATCTTGATCTAGGAAAAAAAAAAAAGTAGAGGGAGAATCAGTAGAAATTCCATCTGAAAATTCTAATATCAAGAAAGAAGATTAAGCTAGTGTTTAATATGATGGAATCATGACCCATTGGAATGAAACAAAGACTTTATTTTGTCTGATGGAATGGAAATGAGCATTCTTGAAGAAATGTGATTCCCTCCATTTTGTTAATTCTCGTTCCTTTAGCCAGGTTTTTTTTTTTCCATTTTGTCATGGAATGGAAGGGAAATTTGCAATATTGGCATATTGCAGAAACAAAGCCCCTCTAATAAGATAAATATGATTGGAGGAAAAGGTCTGTACCTTACATGAAACCCATTCAGCAAATGATGGATAATAAAGATCTTTAAAGTCCTCAAGGGGTTGTGAAATTAATGCAAATATCCGTTTGACTGCCAACTGATCGCCACTAATCATACCACTTGTCAATATCTGCAAAAAGTATCTATCATGAACACCACGCCTCAACATTATCTCAGAAAAAAAAAAAAAAATTTAACAATGTTTCGTGTGTTGAACCTTAGAAGCCAGCTGTAAACCTGCTTCCAAAAGAATTGGTCCAGATGATGTGTCCAGTGCTGTACGAACAGCAGAAACAAGCTGAGCCTGCAATTATAAATGACATATGGAAATGGAACCATGGCATAATATTAGAAGCAAATCTAGTTAGTGCAAATGTAGCATCAGTTATTAGTTTATTACAGCATCCTACTTAGTACTTACGTTTCTTCCTATTACAACATTGTAACAGTGAAAAATCTACCCAAACACAAAGCTAATGAATAGATTTTCAGGTAGATATAGACTGGCCTAATGAGAAAAGAATAAAAGTACGTTGCTATTTAAGGTAAATGACAGCAGGTTGACTGTATCCATAACCAACCCCATACCTGGTTCTGTTCCAATAATAGATGTCCAGGAAGCTCAGGGTCAGGTACCTTTCCGAACTGTGATCATATACAATACAACTTTTGAGAAATTATGGATATAGGAATATAAATATAGTGTTAATGAATGAAACACAAAGGTGTGCACAATGTTATGTTTAGATATTTATTTACCTTGTCCAGAATAGTACTTAGAAGTCCCACACCAATGGGGCGCATGTTTTCAAATTGAATTGTGCTTATCTATGAGTTAAATAATAAAAAAAAAAATGTTAGGTGATATAAACATAAATGGAGAAAAATGCATCTGTGTAATGTTAGAATTTAAAGTGATTAGATTGATCGCCTACCTGATAAGCAAGAGATATGAGCTCTTGCACCTGGAGGACTAACCAATCACCAGATTTCAGGTCTTTGGCTGGCTGGCTTCTCGCCAATGAAAGGTCAAAGTGAGCAGGATTCTGTCCCACAGCATCCGGGACATGACTCAAGCACCTGATTCCAAAAAATAGCAATATATTTATTATATGGATTCAGTTCAATCCTATATCTCTAATGCTACTTTTGTTTTTTCTTTTTATAAAAACTAGGATAATATTAATAGCTCATAGAATTTGTCAAGTGTAAAACTACACTCTGTGGTTATCCCCATCATTAAGTTCATTAAGTCGCCTTAATGTTGCATAGGCATAAAGAAGAAAAGATGGAAGCATAAACATAAATTAGTGATAGATAAGAGGAGGATGAGGTTCACATACTCTGCAGCAAATACTCTTGTTCGATATCTGAGGTGTTTATCTCTGGCAATATTGGCTCCAGGTGAAGTTTGAGAGCTTGAAACCATGTTCTCATCATCATTCCCATAGGATTTATCTCCCTCATGGCTGCTGCTGCTGCTGCTAGGATCATCATCCAATTCTTTGTTGTTTCTGGTATTTCCACTAGATGTAGCAAGAACCTGGATCCACATTTCCACATTTAGGAACCAAGTAATCCAATCCAACCCATGAAACTGTCATTTTCTACTTTTTCAAAACTAGGTCATTAAACCAAAGCATCAAACTAAGAATAAAAAACCATTTTATACTAAGACACATAGTGGCCATTATGCTTTACAAAAAAGAAAGAAACTACATATGCATCACGACAAGGGTAAATGCAAGAAGAAGCAACATACTTTCATTTATTTGAGTATTATAACATCTTACTTTCATTCCTTGTAGCATTTTATTTTTCTTATTAAGGCATTGCAGTTTAAAAAATCTGCCCATTTATAGCATTATACTTCCAATTTGTTTCTTATTTAGACATTATTCTTTGAAAAATCTACCCTACTGCAGTGAAAATTGCTTTGTATTTGGATGGCATTGCTATAATTGGGTAGATATTTCACAATACAATGTATTATAAATGAAAGAAATGAAAGTAAGATGCTATAATAAACAAATAAATGAAAGTATGTTGCTATGTCTTACATTTGGAAACTAAATCCTTACTCCTTCAAGATGTATATATGATCCTTGAGTTTGACAAGTGCATCATAAGGAGCTATGGTCCAAACAAAGAATAGCAAGTCTATTATACATTACAAGAGTGTCATTAAGCAAAGGAAATATGAAGGGCACAAAATTATGAGTGTATGATGTCTAACTTTGTAAGTTACAACAGGAATACAGGTAAGAGTTTAAGAGGAGACAAACAATAGCAACCCTATAAGTTACAAAATCTACAACAGCAAATATGAAGAGAGAGAGAGAGAGAGAGAGAGAGAGAGAGAGAGAGAGAGAGAGAATATACCAAGTTACGGCATATTTGATAGCCACCTAGATGGAAATGATGGGCATGATGTATAGAGCAATCGCATAATTGTAGCTTTCACCAAATTCCCAATCCTACAGTAGCAACAAGAGAGCTTTTATGTGGGAAATAAAAATACATGTATCATATGTCTGCATAAGGATTTAAAAGCTAACAGAGTGGTGGGTGATATAATATTATAATAGATGAAAAAGGAAGAACATAAATGAGGCAATAACCAAATAGAGGTAAGTAGCATCAAAATTAAGCATATATTAATATGGTAAACCAATAGTTAAGAGTAAAAATGATAGTCTAGTTAATGAAGGCAAAAAAATGGGGATCTCTTTCTACAGTTTTATGCTCAAAAACCCCTAAATATTGAACAAATTAAATGCAACATTGCTAACGACTCTTTCCATTTGTGGAAAAAATCCTACTAAAACTATCTCAATATTGTAATGTGTGCACTAAAGATGGCCTTATTGGGGATCATAATCTCAGTTTTGCTTTTTGGAGTTCTATGGTACTGGCTCTAAAAATTTAGGGAAATGTGAAATCTAAGTTATTCTTATTCTTATTTGCTTTTTTTTGCTTCTATTATTCTTGTAATTCAGGGTTATGCCATACAATACCATTGAAACTTGGGATTTTGTTAATCCACTTATTAGTATTCAGTAATAATAAGACCTAGATGTTAGTATCCTACTTTCCTAGAGTGATCCACATTATTATTGCACTGTCCTCCTCAAAGATAAAAAACAAAGGTGGTGATGCAAATCAAGATAGACAAAACATCTGAAGCTAACCAGAGTTTTATAATGCAAACAGGTCACATTTTATTATACAAAAGAAAAACCCTAATGAACTAAAAGATAATATATCAATAACAGGATACATACTCGGTATCAGTTTCTTCATCTAGCATGTGGAACAAGTTCTCTTCTATTTGTTCATGAATAACAGGATCCTGCAAACAGTCCCATCAGTAAATGGACATAATCAGTAGATAGGAACAAGCAAATGATTCTAAACTAAGGTAGAAATTGCTTCTTTCATCAAGAATTAGGATATTTTCATTCCAAAACTTTTACGTGGACAAGTAAGATATTTTTATTGTTATATAGTTATGTTATTGTGAGAAAAATGTTATGCAAACAAGCTTGCATATAAAATACTGTATGAATGTGTTACTTACTGGGTCCTTTTCAATGAGATGTCGCAAAGTGGACACAGTAAGATGTCTCAAAGTTGGCTGTTGCAAAGGAGAAACTGTTTCAGAATCAAAAAAATATAAATTTTATATAAATACTTCAAGGGTCACCAGGAAGAATTACCTGTCTTGATGAAAGAGTTGAAAGGAGAACTTTGACATGAGTATGAACTGTAACAGCTTGGGGAGCAAAGAGTACAAGTTGTTGGGTAAAACGAACACTTCTGCAAATTTTAAGAATAATCCATTAATAAAAGGTCTAAAATCCAATAGTCATTGTAGAATAAGTTATTTTCTACAGATACAATCACAGTAGTAAGGTTGCTTACTCAAGAAGTGTTGCTGTTTCTTGCTGTGTGCTTATCTCTGCAATGACAGACTGTAGAAAACAAACAATTAAGTTAGTGCACATAACAACAACAGGAAATTAAATATATTTTATGAATTATATAACTGAATTAACAAACCTTGCAGCGTGAAAAGAATATACTTCCAGGGTGAAGTTCAGGACCAAGAACAGCAACTATTGCATTTATGAGGCGACCTACTCCTTGCTGAAGCACAACCCATCCATTCTCTTCAGACAAAAGAATATCCATAGCAAGGCCAAGTGTTGCCTACAAGAGAATGACAGATTATATAATAAATACTAATTCCTAGTCTAAATCGTTTTAATTACAGCTAGTTCCTGTTTATTTTTACTTTTACATTAGAGAGAAAGATGGGAATTTATAGATACAAAAGGATATGCAATGTACCTGAACTTGTGAAACATAAGACAAGCCTGCAGCTTCTATTGTTAGAAGAAGTCCATGCAAAGCCCATACTTGTAAGTTAGCTATTGAACTCTTAGCTAGTGAAGAGATAGAATGCACAGTGGATGGAACTAAACTTGATAATGCCATTCCTCCTGCGCTGCATACAACATGAGAATGATAAATCTTTTGCTTTCAGGAAATAAAAAAATAAATTATGAGAAAACAACTAACTTCACTAAAAAAGACACAGCATAAAAAGACAAATACCTGCGATGGATGCAACCAAGAGCTAGAGCAATTGATCCAGCATAATGCTCTGGTGCACCAGTTACATCATTAAGCAGTGATCGAGTCTAGTCAAAACAAATTAATAAATGGATCATGAGATTTTTAACATTCTAAAATGAAATTAATAAAAATATCAAAAATTTACCAATCTGGCAGTAAACATATCATTTCCAAGACGAGCTAGTAGCCCTAGCCCTTCTGATGATGCTCTTCGTTGTGATTCACAGGTGCCAGCCTCAGCAAGAATATTCTATCAAAAATTTATAAAAAATTAAAGTATGATGTAAATGTAAGCAAGTAAAATGTAAAATTACATTTACACCATAAAAAAAAACCTGAAAGATCCCCTGGGCTGCAGTTAATATCTCTGTTTCTAGTGGTTGGGAGTGATATGTAAGCATGGCCTACAAAATATGGATGGATGAGTAGCCCATGTTAGATCTATTTAAATTGATTTAGCGATGTTGTGTGATTTTAATGAAACCAAGAGTAATTGAGCACCTTTAATCCAGAAAGTAATCCCACGCATACGTTTGTGACACTGGTTGAATGTAGAACATGTTGTCTCCTTCCAGTTTTAAGAGACTGCTCAAGTATGCCAAGAAGTGATAACATCCCACTACTATCCTGGGGTGATTCTCAGATCAAGTTAAATTGGAATCCAAGAATCAATGATAATAAGGAGGAAACATTAACGCACACAATGACACAAAGAAAACACTACCTGAGTAGCAAACATGACTCCAAAGCAAAGGAGCATTTGGTTCACCAACATCTTGCTAATAGTCTCTGGCTGCATATTATTCATTCACCCAACAAGTGTATAGAAAAGATTATGATTTTTTTTATTCTCCATTTGGATCAACAAAATATACCTGAGGGAAACTAGGGAGCTCATTCTCCCATACACATGGCAAAACGCCATCTTTTCCACCTTGAAATGCCCGAAGTTCATCTTCGAACCAATCCCTATGTGCCAACAAGGATAGTATAGACAACATTTAAAAAATTGCATGCAGAAAGAGTCTGCACATGTGTTGCAGAATCATTTGGGAATCATGGATTTAATGGTAGAGATTGGATAGAAAACCACTTTGAAGGGTGTTTGGTTTGCAGATTGTTTAGGAAAGATTTGGAATCTGTCAAAGGAAAAGGATTTTGAAGGATTTGGAAGGTGAAGGAATTCAATTCTATCATGCGTTTGGTTGGCAATAAGTGGAATGGAAGTCAATCCCTTTATTGATTTTTCATTCAAAAAACTTTTTTTAATACTTACAAAAATATTTAATTATTTTTTTTACTACTTTTAGGTAAATGATAGAAATTTGATTCCATGAGAGAGAGAGAGAGATGGATAAGTAATTATAGTTTACAAATCTAGGGCTGATAGTTTATTGTGTAACTTAATGACTAGGTTAATGGGGATATATATGTTATTTTAACAAGTCATTAGAGATAGGAAATAGATCCATGGGTTTAGAAAGGGTTTACAGCCAAACACAGGATTTTCTTGAAACTGAATTCCAATTCTTGTCAGATCCCACAACCCCCCCCCCCCCCTCCCCCCCTCTTTCAAGTTGATATGTGATGAGTGTATACCTTCCAGGAATCCAAGGACCTAACCAAGCATCTCTGCTGTCCAAAAGTATCCTCAAGTAGGAGCTTTCTTCATATTTGGAAGCCTCTCTGTTCCCCAAATTCAGCATATAAGGCCAAACACACATAAATATTCTTCATAAATATTGACATAAATGAACATTTTTACCTGAAGGGACTTGTGCATATTTGAATAAGTTGTGGGTGATCACTCTTGTATGCCTTTGGATCGGAAAGTGACTGATAAGCTATCAATATTCTGCTGATGAATATGTCCATAGAAGCTTTCACATCAGGCGTCTTGGTTGTTAAGGAGGAAATAAAGTTTAATGCCCTGTGTTTTCATCATACATTGTGTTTGAAAAATCAGCACATAAATATATACTTATGAGTAGAAAATAAAAATAAAAAGCATCAATACTTTTAGATTCCACTCATACCGAGAAAGGTATAATAGCACTGGTTGAAGCAAGATCCCCTTGTTCACGGCATCATTAGATACAAAGCATCTTATAAAGGCATTTAGTGCTTCAAGTGCAGCAGACCACACACTAGAAAAGAAAAATGTGAATGTAAACATCATAACTTCACTGAAAAGGTTATCCTTATAAAATGGTAAATAATGAATTTCAAGAATGAACTATAAGATGTTTCATAAGTGCAAGATTTAGATAACAGTAACAAAAGAAGTCGTATGACTTCAATATACAATGGCAAAGATTATAAGGAAATGAGTACAAGTAACAAAACATGACTTATCTCAGTTCCTAGCAAAAAGTTGAAAACTATATCTTTCAGCAACTCATGACAGTAAATTTAAGGGGTAATGCTAAGGAAAGGTAACAAACTATGTCTTTTTCTTTACTTTAGATCATTAAAGTTTTATACATTCTAGCCCATTGAACAACCGAATTTTGTTTCAAATTAAGACAGTCAACAGGGCATAAAATTTTCAACCAGTTACCCTCTGATATGGCATCCTGGTGTCTACGTGGCATCCACATTGAACTTTATTTCATTGTAATGATATGAAAACTTAATATCATTTTAGTATACTAAACTTTAGAACTTATAACTTTATTGACAAACAGAATTAAGTTCTCCTGTTTTCCCCCAATACCCACAGAATTCTTGATAAAGCCTTTGATTTCTCCTCTTCTTCTTTACAAAGCTTTGATTTTGTATCTACTTGTAAAATCCAGAAATATTTGTCTCTTTTTATCAAAGAAATAAGGATTAAAAATGGCAGACAGCAAAGGAACCGATGGGGAAAGGTGGCAGTCCCTCCGACCTGTGATGGAGGGGTAGGCCCAGTGTGAAACCCACTTTCTTTAAACCCATTTGCCAAAGAATGAGCATGTGCCCGATGTACCCCTAAGAAATTTCTTCCCAATCTAGAAGAAGAAACTGCTCTCCATTTTAGATGTCTGATGTACCCCTAAGAAGGGGTAGGAAATGGAAGGAACCATTGACGGATGCCTATGAAGTTGGCATATTCTGGTTTACCCGTAAAAGGGGTAGACCAGTACTGAAAGAGGAATGGGACATCGATCTTAGGGTTTCACCCATTGAACATTTGAATGTGATGGTGATTTCAATTTTCAATCTTAGCTATTCTATGGGTGAAACCCTAAGATTGATATCCCATTCCTCTTTCATTATTGGTCTACCCCTTTTACGGGTAAACCAGAATATGCCAACTTCATAGGCATCCTTCAATGGTTCCTTTCTTTTTCTACCCCTTCTTAGGGGTACATCGGACCTCTAAAATGAAGAGCAGATTCTTCTTCTAGCTTGGAAAGCAATTTCTAAGGGAAACAATGGGGACATGCTCATTCTTTGGCAAATGGGTTCAAAGAAAGCGAGTTTCACACTGGGCGTTCCCCTCTAGCACAGGTCAGAGGGACTGCGACCTTTCCCCATCGGTCCTTTTGCAGTCCGCCATCGTTAATGCATTTTTCTTTGATAAAAGAGACGGTACTTTCGGGATTTGAAAAGGATCGTATACAAAATCAATTATTTATGAAGAAAAACAGGTGAACTCAAAGACATTCGGTCAAGAATTATGTAGAGATATTCGAGAAATCAAAGGGTATTTGTCAATAAAATCCAAAGTTTCAAGTTTAATAAACAAAAATAATTTTAATTTTTGATAAAATTAAAATTAAATAAAAAGTCCACGTGGACGGTAAGCTACATAGACACCAAGTGGATGTATTTAAGGGTAACTGGTTGAAAAGGCTATACCCAGTTGGACTGTCCTAATTTGAAACAAAAGTACGCGTGCAAGGGATAGAATGTATAATTAAAAACTTTAGTGAAATAAAGTAAAAAAAAAATGACAATATCACCCCTCTTAGATGATTTTAGGGTTTTCGGTTGTGCCGCCGAAGTCCACCCTCCGTGGCTAGAAATGAAAAAGACTGCAAGATTTCGTGATCCATAGATCACCAACTAAGAATAAAAACAGTAGAAGAAAATGAAAATGAAAATGAAAAAGCCTCGAGAGAAAAACAACATAGCAGATCTTAGGTGATATAGGTGATGATGGATGTGGGAATCTAGTGCCTATTAGGGATTTATGGAGTCAAATGGAAGCAAGTGCAAATATGGATAGTATTGAAGGCAATCAATATCATTTACCAACAATAGAAATCCTTTATGCTTCCATTATCAAAACCATAGCACTGCTTTTTCGAGGAAAATTATAAGAATGAAAAAAAAAAAAAATATATATATATATATATATATATATATATATATATATGGATGGGAGAGATCAAGGGGTGGAGGAAAAGGAATGGTGGATCTAGATAGGAACCCTATCTCACCTAATGGAAAATTTGTTCAAACAGATCCACCATTTGGGAGAGAAGGAAATGGTGAATGTGTTTCTTGGGATGAATGATACAAGGGAGAGCCTTAATTTATACTAGAGCCTACCTCACTAAACAAGGAAAATACGTAACAAGAAAAGATACGCATTAACTTTACAGCTAATTTACAGCCAATATACAATAAGAATTTAATGAAAAAATAAATTTCACGGTTGAGAATCACGTGACTGAGGCACGCGGTGGACGCGTGTTCCAAGCTGATCCAAAAGGGCAGATGGGTAATTTTACCAACAAAAAGGGCATAACTGATGAAAAGTGGGCTAACCTTATTTTAGAAGACAGATCCTCTGATGAATCTGCTTGATGCTCTTGGCCTCGACCACTAAAGACATCAGCCCATAACGAAAGAATATCAAACACCTGGTCTTCCATCTCCTGTACAACTCATGCAGCAGTTTTCAGTTTTCAGAATCAAGAATTACTATAATGCCACTGAAGAAGAATAACAGTTATACCTCCTTTGGCATGGAAGACAACAAGGATGAGAGAAGTAACCATCCAGCTTCTTTTTCAACTGTAGCAACCACAGTGTTCCGGCTAGCTTCTGTTAGCATTTTTCTAGCTACATCAAGCATTGTTCTGGGCAATCTTTACACAAAAATAAATAAAAAGTTAAAAACCACTGTCTATTTTCCACGTCAGCATCATAAATATGAAAGTCAACCTTAAAAAGTTCAAAGTGTTACCTGGCTGGATAACCAAGAGGCAGCTTTGGGGAGACAGATGCAAGTGCAGCCAAAACTGTAGCTTGTCCACTTAAGGAATCAAGCTCAACCTTCAGATTGTTTCCCTGTATACCATTTTCAGAAAACAATATATAAACAAGTCAAGTAACTGAATTCCAAATTTCCTTTAAAACAAAACTATGTCTTTGATGTAATACCTTCCCAAATGACACATTTTCTCTTAGTGCCTTCAGTGTAGTGATCCCATAATTGACCAAACCACCAACACATGTCGGATCAATCTCCGCCAGTGCACGCAAAGTCAAGGCTGACTCAGAACGTACCTACCAATCATGTCAGATTAAAATTTTGAAGTATTTGACAAGTGAATTAACATAGAATAAACATAGAATGTGAAATTGCTAGTTTTTTGCCAAAACAAATAAGTTGTCACTAGTGCTTAGATCAAGAAATACCAAAGTTGAAAAGCAAAACAAAGACAGAATTGAAAAGGATGCATTAAGATATTGATTATTGTGCCAAAGACAACTTAGATTAGCATTTTGCATCTGCTAAAGGGCATATTGTGAATTACATATTCAACTAAAAAAAAAGATAACGAAACATCATAATATCTTACAAGAGGTGAAGAGTTAGACAATGCTGCTACTGCTGTGTCATCAAGAACTTCCTTGAATTCAACAGGAACCTGAAAATGAACAGAGAAATTGAAAGTGATGTCATAATAAATTATTAAAAACAGCCTAAGAATACAGTAATACACCTTACCTCTCCTAAAGTTTTCAGGGTATATGACAAAGTGCGTAAAGCAGCAATTTTCATTGATGGACTTGCATCAGGGGACTGAAGCTGTAACAGAGAAATCATGGCAAGTCATTGGAACTAATGGAATCAAGAAAGATCATAACTTGAGTGAGATGAGATATGAGAAGTGAGAATTTCTAGCAAACCTGCTTTCCTAGATTAACTAAGAAGACCCTTTGTGTAGGTTCAGTCATTTGATCAATCACACCAACCCGTAGAATATAGAAAACACATGCCTTTAAAAAGAAAAATAATACATTAGTAAATTGATTGATTCTTTAAAAACAAAAATCATACATTAAGAAAACAAAGGTAAATCTACAAACTGATAAGGGAATACCAATGATTGTGCATCTACAACAGACTCTGCACGAAGCATATCCATAATCTGCACAAGATAATTTTGGAGCTCGCTATCTGGATGCATATACTTAAGCCGTATGCCCTGAAAAACTCAAAAAAAAATGCATTATTCATAAAAGAGCATACGATTCAAAATGTAAAGCATAAAGGATAAATATTGCAGAAAATATCCTAAAAACTAGCAACAGAGACAAAATTTTACCTGTAAGAAGAACACCCATGACAAGGTTATACCGATTCGCAAATCCTTTGAACGAGGTCCACTTGCTGCAAAAATTAATACATCTATCAAAATATTATATATGCTAAAAAAACCAATGCAATGGAGTTCAAATTTTAACAGAAAGACACCTTTGGTGAAGGGCAATATAAGATGCTTTTGCAAACTCCCCTCAGGATTTTTTGAATTAGCCTGGCCTTTTTTCGGTTGCACCTGAAGAATGATAAAATGTAAGATGACTATTACAAAAACAAAAAGAAAGAAAAACATGTAAGAGTACAGAGAGAGACATAAATTTGAGAAGAAGATGGTATACCTGCGCTTGAGGGTTCATTACAAGAGCAAGCACAGCTCCCAAAGCTGCTGCAAAGGCATCCCGAACCGATGATACAGGATCTTCAAGAGCCTTATAAGATGCAGAATATCATATATGGGATTTTGATGCTATAGACTAATAGACAACAACAACAACAAAACCCAAATCCCATATGAATGAGATAAGGGTAGAAAGACTGTTTTCAAAGATGACCTCTGGGTATATGAAAATGCGAGCCCACAATGGGTAGGGGGGATAAAGCAGAAGGTAGACACTAGCAATATAAGCTATATAAGTAAACAAGGAACAAGAGTAAGAAGGTAAATATTGTACAAAAAGCACAAAGAGAGAAAAGGAAACCCAGGGCCTAGACTACTCCTAAACTACTCCACTACCCTGATTTTAAGCCTCCACACCCTTCTATCTGGAGTCATCTCCTTGGAAAGAGTCAGCTTCTTCAAGTCTAACTAACCTCATGCAACAAGATACACAGAGTAACTAAGAAAGTGGTACCTTGACACAGTAAGAGGCGGAATTGTCAAGCTCTCCAGCTCCTAAGCCTGGGCCTCCAATACTAGCAAAAGCTTTTAAACATCTTGCAGCAGCTTTCCTCACAATGAATGATTTGTCTCCAACACCCATTCGCATGATTATGCGAAATGCTTCTGCATATGCAGGTAAAGAGCCATTGCCACCTGAACCCTCGAGAGCATTTCTAAGCATCTGCAAAGCCTCTCGCCTCACAAAATCCTAAGCATAAACCAGTAAAAATGGCGTAAGAGAAAAACAATCACAAAAAGAAGGTTTGAAAATATGACATGGTAGACACAAAGAAGGTCTGAGATCTCTAAGGTTACCTCGGAAAACTTCATCAATTTTGCTACACTACTTGTAGTTTCAAGCAAACCAGAAGTGATTTTCTTCCCGAATAACCGATATAGCTCCCCCAAGCATTGTGCAGCACCTATATTCGTTGCAAACAAATATGAACTCCTAAAATACATGGCAGAAACTCACATAGATAACAAGAAAAGGGACAACAAAAACTATATCAAATCATGGGCATTAACTAAACAAGATGAATAAGTAAGCAACTTCATGAGTTGATTATTAAGACACAAAGTTTTATGGGGCTTTAAGACAAACAATCAATCAATCTTACCAACATACACAACCAACCATCTACAAGGTTACAATGACACCACCACCAGCAAACATGTTAAAAGTTCTACTTGTTATAAATAAACTGACATGTTGAATGCATGTTCGCAACAAAAAAATTGGTAAATTATTTATATTTATTAATGTATGTTCTACCCTCTATGCAGCTGAAGTTCACTAATAACTCTGTTACTGTCATAACTGTCAATATATAACAGAAATGAGAACAATGTACTATAAATCATATATTGAAAGATATTTTAGGAGTAATCATTAGAAATTAACTAATATTCATATCAAAGATAGGCATGCATATCGAATTCAAACATAAAATAAATAGACAGACCAGCTATTCGCAAGGCTTCATTCTTCTTTCCATCAGAGAGGAACCCCTGAAGGCTGCTGACTCTTGAGTAGATTGAGATATTATCCCCTTTATAAATGATTTTACCCATTGCAGCAGATGCCAGATGACGCACAGGGCGCCTTGCACCAAGAACCAGTAGAGAAAAGAGTGCATCCTCGCATTTCCTTTGCCACAGAAGTACAGACTCCTGATAATTTTCAAATTAATTATTCAGGTGTGGAAACTTCCATCATAAACTCCTAATCCCTCAATTCTTAATTAAGGAGTCCACATTCAACTTATGAGATTCAAACCCTACTTCCCACATTCAAGCTTTAGACAACATCAAGTTTTGGTTTTAAGAATTAGTCCAAAGAAGTTCAAATTTTATTAAAGTTGCAGAATATGTTCCTGTTTCCGTTGTTATGCCAATTTCAAAATTATTTGAACTTTAAATTTTATAAAACAAAAATCTTTTTGTGTTTCTATATGGTTAGTTGTATGTATTGTTTCTTTAAAACATGCAAATCCATGTCAACTTTAAAGTTGGAAAGTAGTTAGGTTGTCTCTCTAGCATCAAATGTGGCCTATTTTGTTCAAACAGGGTAAACGTTACCAAAATCAATAGTTTTTTTATTTGGCTCAACAGTGATTAAATTCAACTGTGGCTCACACCACTCATCAAGCGATGAAAATCAATAAAATCTCATATACATATTAAGTTTGCTTCAAGAACTGCCATGGAGTGTTACTGTCAGGCAGAAGTGAGTTTATTTCCTGTGATTGTATATTCATTCGGAAGCAGTTTCGTCGTGTAAGAGCTTTCCATATTGTCTTCTAATTTCAGACTATATGTTGATATGGATATTCCATTTCACTAACAACTATACTAAGATCATACACTTGACATTACAAATTTTGATTTCAGTCTAGTAAACATGAGCAGCTAAACTTGAAGATCCAATATCCTAAAGGTCATAACGTACGATACGTAAGAAAACAGAAGCAATGGCATATAACTGGGTGTAGTTTGTCATCAATTTCACAATCAATATGCTTTAGTGACGTAACCCGAACAAAATAATCATATTAAAAGTGAACTGAAATAAATCATGCGTATCACAAAGAAATGTAGACAGGCGCAGACCTTGGGCTCGTCGTGAATGGAGGAAATGAGATCGGAAAGAAGATCGAAGCAGAGGAGAGGATCAGGAAGCTTGTGAGATGCGGAAGCGACTATAGATTCCAATTGTGCGACTAACACTCCAAATCTTGATAGAGGGACGTTTTCTCGAACGTAAGTCCTCACCATCGAAGAGACTGGAGTGCTGCTGCTTCAGTATTGTTCAACAGATACACAAAGGAACCATGAGAGTGCGAGAGAGATGTGTTTAGGGTACAAGTATGAAATATTCGTGTTTAATCTAGTTTAGTGAATAAAAGAGAGGAAATTCAGGAATCGTACAAAAGTTTTGTAGTAATAAATGAAAGGGTATTGTGGCCGTAACCAACAAAGTCACGTATAACGGTTTAAATGGTCCCTTGTAACTATTTTTTTGCATTTTAAGGGCATAAACTTGTTATTTACCGATTGGGAAAGTCATCTTACCCATTTTAGCAGGTTAACCTGCATCGTCACTTGCCATGTATACATATGAGTTAACTCACTGAGTCAATACCGAGTTGACTCGATGACACAGAAGCTGACACATGCAAAGAGTAATTATCGTCTTTAATTTCCACCAACACCCCAACAACCTTGCATTGTCGATTCGATTGACTCCCAAGCACAAGTCTCTCGAATTATAAGGGGACATACGCATGTGGGGTTTGAAGTAAAACAAATCTGAAACTTGTTTACCATATTCGGGCAAACAATCCTCTGGAAGAACCCTTAAAAAGCAACAATGTCGGCTCCACCACCTTCACCTGACTCTTTAAATTCTGGTGAAGACATCAACTACAATGTGCTTCACGCAATCTTCTGTGATTGTGGTCCGAAGATTACAGAAAACCAAACTGAAATGAAAATGTTGAAGGAGCAGCTTGGATAGGAGTATATCATTTGCAGGATCGACCACATCAGTCTCCAGCACAAGCTGGATGACCATGATCAGAAGTTTAAAGTCGTTGGTGTTGCTATGGGTGGCATGATGGTGGGGATGCTCTTGTTGCTGGTGGTTGTGCTCCATTTCCTTGTTAAGCTTAGGTGATGGGTTGATCTGCAACTAAGGCGGTTCGTGGTTAAGAAGGTTATTAGTATGTAGTGTTTGTGTTTTATTTTTGTATTTGTGTTTTTTTGGCGAAATATGTAAAAGACCTCTTTAAATGACAGGCATTTTGTAAGTGAAATCCAATTATTAATGAAAGACCTATCTAAATGATAGGCATTTTGTAAAGTTGGGTGATGTTCTTTGTTGATTGTTTTTTATCTTAATTACATGTTAATTTTCATTGAATAATTCCTTGAAAGTGCAATAGTAATAGGAAGAAGGAAAAAGTGTGGATGTTAAGGACCCCACTTGTCTTGCACAGTGGGGGTAATATAGTTTTTTACACGTACTACTGTAACACCCGTATTTTCGATAACAATTAAACTTTTATATTTTATGACGTCGATTATACATTATAAAATTAGATAGATCGTAAAATAATATCTATTATATATTGGATAATAATTTGAAATCCAATACTATACTGATTCGAAATTTATTGGCACGTATTTTATAAGTTAGGATATATATTTCTTGACCGACATATATAGTTAGTTAGTTATAAATTATATTTGACATTCATACATATGTATATATTAATTAAACTAATATCATAAATATGTACAATTTAAACGTTTAGTTATCTTCAGTAATATACACATTACAAACAAGAAGAAAATATATAAAAATATATTATATATTGAGAAGTTAGGACAATCAAAACATAAACGTATGTATGTATCTTTATTTATATATTATTATAATAAAGAAATATATAAATAATGAGAACATGAAAAATATGAAATTGTTCCAATAAAATAGAAAGGGAACGTGTCAATTAAAGAAGAGATGTCCGTACATATTTGATTTAGTGTCAATTTTGAAAGAGCCACGTATTTTAGATAGGATGAATATCCATAGTAATATTGCTTGGTTGTTAAGGTAAAACAAATTTTGTCGATACTGTCATGCATGCTATAAATAGCTTGTTTATCCTCATAAAAATTATCACCCAATAATATTAAGCAACATATATATGCTTGAGAGGAATCTTACATTATGCATAATTAGAAGGCTAAACTTATAAACGTTTTGAAGATCAAAGAATCATATTAGGAACTATTTGGGAAGTGAGACATACATTCGTTGTTTAAGGTGAGTTATCTCACTATACTATCTATTATAATATATATCCATGTATGTTAAGATAGGGAGCTAGTAGAGTAAAAATATAGCCTTTATGTGTTTATGTTATTATACTCGAGTTATAGAGTAGAGCCGAAAATATAGTTTTTATATGCTTATTGTTACTATACTTGAACTAGTAGAATAAGCGTAATCTCTATGTGTTTAAATGTTATTATATTTAAGTTATTACGGTTAAGTTAGGGGTTGATGGCGGAACGGCGACAGGTCGGGAGCCTATAGACCCGTGTGTTGGCGACGAAATGGCAGGTAGGCCGTAAGTCTAGATACACATTTTATTGGCGGGTCGGCGAAAGGTCGTGAGCCATTGATTGTATGCATGTATATGTATTGTGATATATGGTGTTGTGGGAAAACTCACTAAGCCTCGGCTTACAATTGTTGAATAACTATTTTTCAGGATGTTCTTCTGATCGTGGAAAGGCTCCAGCATGACTGTACTCGCATCGAATAAATTAATAATGTTTTTAGACATCCGCTAAAACTCTCTTTTATGTTTAATAAATGTATGACAATGATATTTCAATAAAAATGGGCTTTTGGACATATTTTCTATATGTTAAAAAAAATTGTGTTGAAAATCGGGACGTAACAAGTTGGTATCAGAGCCCTGGTTTGAGAGAATTGGATGAACACTTGCGTGATTCCATACTCAAACTAAGGATCTGAATAATTTTTATATATCTTTTGAAAGAATTTTATTCAAATGGAAAGGATGCGATGCGTACAGTCAGCCGGAGCTCAGAAAGAAAAGTGATTCCCAATATATCCATATTGTTTATATTTGTTGATATATGAATTATTAGAAATGCATGCTAGTATAAGGGCTAAGGATATTTTCAGGAATTTCATTTTAAATTGTCTGATATCTAGTGTGCCTTGTAGCCCTAAGGATTGCTTTTATGTGCTACTTGAAACCTGTGCTGATATCAATAGTTACTAAGTGTATGCTCTAAATGGTACCTAACTAGGATTTTATAGCCTTAGAATGCTTAATTCAGCCTTACTTCTTGTTCCTTGTTTGGTTGTGGAATTAGGGTAGAATCATTTATTCGACTGTCTATCCGATCCTGGATTATGTACGATTTGCATACAAAAGGCGACTAGTGATGTTAGGAGAGATTTGTAATTGTACGGTTAGTAAAAATTCTAGAAGAAAGTCTAGGGAATTTAATGATTAGCCCTTGTAACACTAGGTGTGTGAAAAGGCCCATTGGTAGAGAAGTGTAGTGACTTAGAAACATTGGGACAATTCTTGGATCTAGTATGGATAGATGTGGAAAGTAGTATGGGCCCGTACTACCGGAAGTACAGGATCCATACATGAATCAAGAAAAGCCACAAAGTTACTAAGGAACTGAAAAGGGGTCTGTTATTCCGAGTTATACATTCATATTAATTTATTCCAATTTTATATAATCAGAATGGTAATGATCACAAGAGTAAACGGTTCTGGTTCTGGAACGGGAACGGGCGGGTTAGGTCCAAGCGAGACTGATATACGCGATTGGATAGAGGCGGCGGTATCAGCAGCTGTAAGGGAGATGATTCCAGAAATGTTCGGATCTATCAAAACCGAATTAATAGCCCTGTTTCATGAACAGTATGTTGCGGTCGCTAGTACTGCTGCCGCCGCAGCCACTACTGTTATTTCTGCTGCCACACCGTCTGGAGACAAGGAAATGCCTTACCGGGAGTTCAACAACACCAAACCCCCAGAGTTTGATGGTGTCAAGGATCCAATTGTTGCCATGAGATGGATTTCAGATGTGGAAGGATGTTTCTATACTTGTGCTTGTCCGGCTAACCTGAAGTTTAGATATGCACAAAATCTTCTTCGTTTGGGAGCAAAAGACTGGTGGAACTTTGTCACTAAGAACTATTCACCTGCTGAGAAGAATGCGGTGACCTAGGAGCAATTTGTTGAAAAGTTCAGGGCAGAGTATGTCCCATCGGCAGAAAGGGAGCGACTCGCTCAAGAATATCTGTCACTCAAACAGACCACAGAATCGGTGACTGAGATCACTAAGATGTTCACCGAAAGGGCATTGTTTTGCATGGAGTATGCATCCTCAGAACAGGTGCAAATGTCTCGATACTTAAGTATGCTTAAGACGGAGATCAGGGAGTTTGTGTCAAACAATCAATACAAGACCTTAGCAGAGATTCAAGAGCATGCCAGGAGAAGAGAAATTGAGTTGGATACCCAAAGAAAGGAAAAGAGGCACACTTCAGCTCTGTCCCATCCACCAAACAAAAGGTTCAAGCATGTTGATTCAAGTTCTGGAGGACAGAAGGGTCCTAGGTGTAACAAGTGTGGGAAACCACACGAAGGATTCTGCCGTTCCTTGGTTTGCTATAAGTGTGGCAAGGAGGGACATTACATCCGAGACTGTAAACAGGGGATGCAAGGGATGCGCATTTGTTTCCACTGCAACCAGATGGGTCATATCAAGTCTGAATGTCCCCTTTTAAAATCAACAAGTGCAATACAGGTTCCAGCACCGGCAACTTTGAGGATAACCGATGGGCGTCAGGGCAGAGCTGAAGCTCCAAAGGCCAAGGGGAGAGCTTTTCAGCTCACGACAGAGGAGGCCAAGGTGGCGTCGGACGTTGTAACTGGTACGTTTCTAGTCAACTATATGCTTGCCTTAGTATTATTTGATTCTGGAGCAAGTCATTCCTTCGTATCACTTAAGTTTAGCAAAAGCATCGATATCACCTTAAGGGATTTAGATTACCCTCTAAAATTCGAGATAGCTGACGATCGAATGATTAAAGCATCAAAAGTTTATCGTAACTGTACCCTAAAGATTTACGATGTTAGTTTTTCGATAAATCTCATTCCCATTCCTATGCGAGAAGTGAATATAATAGTAGGTATGGACTGGCTAGACCAGTTTGAGGCCCTGATCGATTGTAGGAAGAAAATAGTACGGGTTCGGACTCCAAGTGGGGGAGAACTAACCATCCAAGGTGAAGGTTCCAAAAGTTATTT